TGCTAGTACTGGTTGTGCTAGTACTGGTTGTGCTAGTACTGGTTGTGGTGCTACTAGTGGATGTGCTCGATGTGCTGGTGCTGGTTGTAGAGGTAGTGCTGCTAGTAGTAGTTGTCGAACTGCTTGTAATCGATGTAGTACTAGTAGTTGCAGTGGTTGAGGTGCTGGTACTAGTAGTTGTGGATGTAGTTACACTGGTCGATGTACTTGTACTTGTTGTGGTGGATGTAGTTTCAGTTATCGCTGTACTAGTACTGGTTGTAGTGCTACTAGTTGTAGTTGTTGAGGTGCTAGTACTAGTTGTGGTACTACTAGTCGCAGTTGTCGATGTGCTAGTATTAGTGGTTGTGGATGTAGTTTCAGTCGTCGACGTGGTACTACCAGTTGTGGTGGAAGTAATTACACTCGTCGACGATGTACTAGTACTAGTTGTCGTGGATGTAGTTATACTCGTTGATGTACTTGTACTGGTAGTGGATGTGGTGGTACTACTTACAGCTGTCGATGTAACAGTAGTAGATGAGGTAGATGTCGTTGCAGTCGTAGAAGTACTAGTAGTCGATGTAGTGCTGGTACTTACACTTGTTGTTGTGCTGCTACTTGATGTGGTGGTTGTAGTAGTCGAGGAGCTAATGCTACTGGATGTCGTACTGGTTGTTGCGGTTGTCGATGTATTAGTGCTGGAAGTAGTGCTGGTAGTTGCACTTGTCGACGTACTGCTAGTCGATGTGCTAGTTGTAGTTGTAGTAGTCGAAATACTGGTAGTTGCAGTTGTTGACGTAGTGCTACTAGATGTGGTGGTTGTAGTCGAAGTCGTCGATGTACTGTCGGTTGTTGTTGTGGTTGTACTTGCGGTCGTGGAGGTACTGGATGTTGTGCTAGTAGTTGTGGTTGTTGATGTACTAGTAGTGGATGTACTGCTGGCGCTTGCGGTCGAGGAGGTACTTGTGGTCGTTGTACTTAGTGTACTAGTGGTGGATGTAGTTGCCGTACTTGAGGTACTAGTAGTTGATGCGGTACTGGTAGTAACGGTTGTCGATGTGCTGCTAGTTGATGTAGTGGTTGCAGTTGCAGTCGTGGAAGTACTAGTTGTGGATGTAGTGCTGGTACTTGTGGTGGTTGTAGTTACTGTACTAGTAGTGGACGTGATGGTTGTAGTTGCAGTCGTAGAAGTACTAGTAGTCGATGTAGTGCTGGTAGTTGCGCTTGTTGACGTACTGCTAGTTGATGTCGTGGTTGTAGTCGCAGTCGTGGAAGTACTCGTACTGGATGCGGTACTTGTAGTTGCGGTTGTCGATATAGTAGTACTGGAAGTAGTGCTGGTAGTTGCGGTTGTCGACGTACTGCTAGTCGATGTGGTACCTGAGGTTGCAGTACTAGTAGTCGATGTTGTGCTTGTAGTTGCGGTCGTTACAGTACTAGTTGCTGTTGATGTGGTGCTAGTAGTTTCGGTGGTGGAGGTGCTGGTTGTGGTACTAGTGCTTGTAGTTGCGGTCGTTGAGGAAGTTGTAGTCGTAGTGCTGGT